GCTCACACATGGCGACCCAGATGAGATCGGGAGAGAACTCGCACATGGCGACCCAGGCGGGATCGGGAGAGGGCCCGCACACATGTGAGTGTTAATTTCAGGCAATTCTGCCCACATCCCATGCAGCTCTGCAGGGCTGCCACAGAGAGAAGGCAAGAGTCTCCTCGCTGCGCAGGGGAGACGGGGTGGGGGAAGGGAGCCCCACCAGCTGCATGTGCTCCGTCCCCAGCTACCCCTACTGGGGTCCTGGTGGCAGCTGTGCTGGGCCCTTGAGGCTGGGGGGGGGCTCCCTTCCCACCTCCATGTGGGACGAACCCCCCCACCTCATGGGCCCAACCTGGCTACCCCTGCTGGGGTCTTGTGGGGAGCCTGGCCAGGTCTGCACGGTGGCAAACTCTGTTCCCCCTTCCCCCCAGCTCTGGACATGGCAGACTCTGCTGCTGTCAATATACTTGCATGGGGTGGGGGAGGGTGGGGAAGGGAGCCCCCCTGCTGCATAGGATTGGCCTGGCTGCCCCCAAGATCCCAGCAGGGGTAGCGGAGAGGGAGCTATGTGGGGGTGGGGCTCCATTCCTTCTCCCCCAGCTGCTGCTGACAGTTGCCAGCTGGCAGGGGGAGGCAGGGCTGGGGAGAGGGGTGGCCTGGCAGCCTCCTGGGAGGCTGCTGGTATGCCCCTGCTTTTTGGTGAGAGCTGTTCCAGGCAGACTCCATGCCCCCACTAGCCAACTGGCAAATACTGATTGGATTCAATGGCACTCTAGCTCACGGCACTTTGTATAAAGTGACGTGAGTTAGAGTGCCTTCCCAACAGACTGCCTTTACTTGTGTACACGTCCTTAATTAATATATTTGTAAAATGGAGTGGCCTCTGATTTTGCCCTCGTACTTCTGCCCACCATAATACATCACATATTTAATCTTTGCATGTAGCCAACGCTAAATAACTGCAAATGTTCTAAAGACTTAATTATGCTGCACAGGAGATGAATGGCCTGTGTTTCACTTGCTGGAAGCCCAAAAAGTTCCCTGGACAATGCAGTCTGCTTCTGTCTTTTTGTTAAGAGCAAAATTCTGCTCTCCATTACACTTGCAGCTTACAACGAAGTTCCTGCTTTGGTTTATCAGAGGGCAGAAATGATCCATAAATGTATTTATTCAGTCACACCTTCATAAAACAGGCTTAGGTTTACATTTTCACACAGTGCTCACTAATTTTTGTCATTCTGCATTTTTGAACATCAGCCTTATAGGTCTTAAATTGGGCACCTAAAAATAATAAACAATACGTTGAAAATGTAGGTTTTAGTCTTTTCAAAAGTCCATGTTAAGCACACCGTCCATGGTGTTTTGTTTCACTCATTCAAATTGTTTTTCAGTACCTACTCAGATATTTTGATTAATTAGCTACGTTGTTTGATATGTTTGTGTTTTTCTCCCCAATGTGGTGTGTTAATCAGTATGTTGAATTCAGCACTCCATATATTTTGGTAAGAAGTTAGGTTATAAATTTAATTGATTCAGTGTTTATAGAATTATATTTTGAGTTTAGCCAAGTATTTAGTAAAGTATGTTGGATGAATTATAGGTCTGTCAGTTTTATGGTTCCTTTGAACATATTCTTTAATTTAAAATAGTGATGTAGCAGTTAAATGTAGTAATTGTTTTGTAATATGTCAACTAGAGTAAATTCATTATTCATGAAAATATGTTGCATCAGAATAATTTAACTTTGAATCTGTTCTTGTAACTTTACTCAGTTTTTTATAAATGTATTTTAATTGCTAGATTATAACAAATAGCCATGATTTTGTGGAAAAGTAATTTGAATTATGGGGATTTCGATAGTCTTTTCGAAGTGCTTCTTGTGCCTTGCTACATAACAGAAGGTAATTTTTGCTTTGACAGCGTGGTAGTAGATGGTAATGGGGACATGCTTTTTCTTTTAGTCAAAATCTCGGGGGGGAGTGTCCTAGGAGGGGTTTTTGTACAAGTCTTAATGTGACATGTTTGATGTCTGGAAATTTGAATTTTCATTTACCTGTAGGTAAAGGCAGCATATCTTTTAATGAAAGGTTTTTGAATGTTGCCCCCAAAAATGTTTTTAGTAAGTGGTTCATTTTTTATGAATTTTTAGTTAGGAGACTGGTAGGGCACTTAAAATGTAGATGTGATAAGGAAAAACATCCACTTTAATGACAGTGGCATTTCTAATAATGAAGATAATAAGTTGTCCCATCTGTTTATAACTCTTTTAATGTTTTTTATGAGTGGTTGAAGATTGATTTTAATTGCTCTTTATTGTTATGTTAGTTCTAAAAGCATAAGATACTTTGTTCCCTGAGGGAGTTCATTTCAAACAGTAATTTTCAAAAGATGATTTATAATATCTCTTTCAGGACCAAATTAGTCAGTTTAATATTTATCCTAATCTAAAATTCTCAAGTAGTCAAAAGCAGAGTATGGGGGTGTCAGGGTTATAGACAAATACTAGTGTGCCACCCAACAATATTATTTAGCTTTTGCTCTTCCAAGTTTATTTTATCATCTTTTTTTTTCTTATTTTACCTGTACTGCATTTTAGATCAGAGGGATGCTGCTGTAAACAATCCATAAATAGGATCATTAAATCACTTTGAAATAATTAGTTAAATTTTATGTAGTAAGTTTCCTCTGTCTCAAATGCTATTTCCAGGGTGTTCGTGTAGTAGCTCAAGCTGGCAGTAAACATGAAGAACTCAGTCCTTTGGCCTTGTTTGCTTTCTTTGTGAACCGCTGCAGAGAAAATCTCCATGTAGTAGTTGCGTTCAGCCCAATTGGAGATGCTTTCCGCAATCGTCTAAGACAGTTCCCATCCCTCATCAACTGTTGTACTATTGACTGGTTCCAGGTTTGTAGAAATATTTCTGTTCCTGTCTTTACAAATAACTTCAGTTTTCTAATAATCTCTATATTTTCATACCAAATCTTCCTTTACCACCCAGTTGGCAGAACTGTCTTTCTTTGAAAATAGTTAAGACAGCTGTGCTTTAACCTTCTGGTGCTGCGGGTCAAATGAGAAGTACAGGGCCAGTCCAAAGGCTGGATATGGCACATGGGGTTGGTCCATGGGTGCAATCTGGTGTGCTGGCCCAGCCTCATTCACTGGCCTGACACCTTGTGTGGTCCAAACCTCTGTGCCAGATCTGGTCACTAATCAACTCAACCCCACTTACTGGATCTGCCTGCGTGCCAGCCTGACCCTGAACACCAGATGCTGTCACACACTGACCCAACCCTTTGCACCAGCCCCACTGTAAACCAACACGATCTAGTCATGTCATCTGGCCTGCAGGGCTCCAACAGGTCCAGAAATATGGGAGTAGGGAAGTTGCAATTAATGCAAACACTACTCTCCTGCTGCCAAATATTTGGACTCATGAGCCAGATGATGGTCTTGTGGGTTGTATCTGAACCACAAGATATCCCAATAAGCCATCTTCACTCAATTGCAAGAGATGACATGCAGTCCTGTGCAAGTTGAAAAGATTTTAAAATATTTTCAATGCAGGATGTTTTATGATGGTTATGACAGTTTTTACTCCCATGAATAACTATGCTGTCTAATGATCTTTGCTTACTTTTCTGGTGATTGTGGTTTTTTAAAATCTTATCAGATAATATGATAGTCTCTATCTCAAGGCACATGAAGTTATTTTAAAATACTTGCTCACATCTTAATGTTGTTATTAGTTAGGGCAGTGAATAATTAGCCTGAGTCTTTTTATATTAAAATCAGTCAATTGAAAATCTAAAATTTTCACAACTACTGCCGGCAGCTTACAGGAGTCTGCTCCACTTTGGCGGCAAAGGGAAAATGACTGGCCATATTAGAGCGATTTCACTCTGTGGTGGTGTTCAGTAGTGATCTGTTCTACTAGGGAAGCTAAACATAGAGGTTCTGAAGAAGAATGAATGTCTGGAAAAAACAATCCTTATAGAACTGGTATTTTCAGCACTTGAACTATATTTGGATCTACTATTCAGTTAACAACAAAACATTGCTTGAGACATACTAAATTGGACTTATGAAAGGGATTATTTATCAGGAATTGTAAAAAGAAAACAAAAAAAGATATTTTTTAATAATTAAATTTCATGTCTTCTCTCATTTTCTCCCCAGCCCTGGCCTGAAGAAGCCCTTGAACGTGTGGCTAATAAGTTCTTAGAAACACTTCAGCTCACAGACAATGAACGTCAAGAAGTTGTACCCATCTGTAAACACTTCCATACTTCTGTTTTGTCACTCTCTTCGAAGTTAGTTTGTATATCTTTTAAAAACAGTCCAATATTTTTCATGTAAATAAATGTAAAAAGATGGAAATGATTACTTTGTATGTTAATGAACGTGGTAAAATGAAAAATAATAATCTAAAACAAAAACCTGAAATTCAGGTTATAGGCAAGAAAATATTAGTAAAGAAATTGGCTGATGGACTATATTGCTTAATGAAATTCTTTTACCGATCAACTGTATTATAAAGATCTTGGCAAGTTTAGAAAATCTTTAAAAGTAGAATAACGGTTTTTGTGGGTGGGATCTTTTATTGGACCAACTGTATGGTTGGGATAGCATCTTTCCCAGGCTTCTTTACTAGAGCCCTGAGGAAGGGTACTTTTAAAGATTCTCTAAGTTTATCCTATCCATGCAGCTGGTCCTATAAAAGATATTACCCACAAAAAACCCTTCTCTCTTGCATTTTTGCTGGACCCTCATGTCTACAACATCACAAATCACTACTAGAAGTGGAGCAGTCATTCTTTAAACTAACTGACCCTCCTGTTAGTTGTCAGACCTTAATTTTAATCCCACCTTTTAAGTTCAATTTGCTATAATTAGAACGATAATTTTTCTATTCCATAGATTCTTGCAAGACTTAGGACGACATAATTATGTCACTCCTACATCTTACCTTGAACTTATTGCTGCCTTCCAACAACTTCTGACTCAGAAACGTGACACTGTGATGAAAGCAAAAAAAGGATATATAAATGGACTAGATAAACTAGCTTTTGCTGAATCGCAGGTAAGCAGATGCACTTCCTTAGCACCAAAATGCAAATCAGAAACAACAGTTGCTAGAAAGACAAGCACAAAGCAGATCTTTGAATTAGAACTACAACATTTTTCAGGGTGAGGAGCATAATTCAGATTCTTATATCTCAGACCCCCTTCTGAATTCAGTACTAAGTCTAATGAAAACCAGTAAAAACATTTTTGGCTCTGATATGGCCAAAATCTCAACAGAATTTGTGGTTTGTACAAAATGTACCAAAATGACAGATTTCTAATGTACAAGGTGAAAGATTTTCACAATCCAAGACAATGCATTTTGGACAGAAAGCTTGAGAGTTTATTGTGAGACTGTTCCAGTGAATAATCCAAACATGAGCCTTGATTTAACTTGAAAAATCTCTTTAATAGCTCACATGTATTTTGTTCCAAATACCATGTCTTCAGTTTATCAACTTGTCTCTAATTTCCTATTTCAATCTCCAATCAGGGAAAGATTACTAGGTTTTATAGGCTTCAGTCTTAAAAATAGAACCATGATTTTTTTTTCCTGTGTGTATTCAGGAAATGTGCATTCCCTTATGGACCACACCCAGATCGTCCAAATATCTTCCCTTCTAATTCAGTAACCTTCCCTTCATGCAGTGTCCCCTCAGTGGTTATTGCACTCACAGCACTGTCTTAGAAACTAAAAACAACATAAAT